TCCAGGATACTCCGAGATGTAGGCGGCATGCTCTGGTAGCGGATGATCGCATGGTCCTGTTATGACGGCGTTCAGGCATTGTTCCGTCTCCTCCTGGATGTGGGTCTCTTCGATCTGTTCCAGGAATTTATCTCGTCGTTGTTAATCTTTCCGATCCTGGAGTTCGTGCATGAGCTTCCCGAAGAGGTCTTTGTCAAAGTCGTCCTGGGTGGCTTGGGCTTTCTGTAGAGCCTCTTCGAGCTGTTGTTCTTGGGCTCGGTGACGATGTGCTTCCATTTCCAGCGACGCCTGGAATGCCTCGCGCTGTTGGTGTTGTTCCTCGAGCTGGCGAAACTGGTGGCCCTGGTACTCCGAGAATTGAGCCTGCATCTCTCCGTACTGAATGAGTAGCTGCTCCTTGGCGTGGGCATTCCCGGAGTTCCGCGTCTGCTGCCTCATGCTGAAAATCTCATATATAATAATATTGCTGTCGTTGCCGTTCTGCGATGCTCCTCTTTTGGATCTCCTCTTGGTATGCGTGCGTCATCTCGGATTGTGCCTTGAGGTGTTCAGCATGTAGTTGCTCCCTGTCTTCAGCAGCTTGTCATAATGACGCGTTTCTCCGTATCCTCGTTGGAGTTGGACGGCTTCGTCATGTAGCATCTTCTCTTTCATCTTCATCTGGTTGTGTTTGTCGTTGTCTTGTTGCCGCTTCTGGTCCTGGATGCTGGCGATGTGCTAGTCCATCTCTTCGCGGTACTTATGTTCGATGATAGATATTTCGTAATGTAGTTTGCGGTTCATCTCCTCGACTTCCATGCGGTGCATGCCATCGTGGTTCACCGATTGTCCCGTCTTCAATTGGTGCTGAAGTTTGTGCTGCATCTCTGTCTCGAGCTCCTCAGTAAGCATCCGTCCTTCTGCTGTCGTCTTCTCCATCTCGAAGTGATGTGCGTGCTCCTGGCGCTTCAATGCGTTGGCAGTAACTTGCAGGGTCCTCTGGGCAGCTTCGTGCTCGTAAACCATGAGCTGCTGCTTCTGCTGTGCACGCTCGAGCTGATGCTCCTTGAGCCCCTCGTTGCGGAGTGGCTGTGCCTTGTGCCGTTTGTGGACATACTCGAGGTTCTGGTGGTTATCTGTCTGATACACGCCGGTCGTTGAAAGTACGTATTTTTAGATTCCCAGCTCCCAATCTACTTCAAGCGCCTTCCTACTTCAAGAATCGGCATGCTTCTGCTGTGTTTTGTTATTCTCTGGGAGGGCCTGGGCACAATAGACTTTCTCCGCCTTCCCACTTCATGTTTTTACCTACTTCTTCCGACCAGCGTGTAGTACTGATGCTGGTCGAGTCGTTGGTTGAGGGCCTTGAGCATTTTGTTCGACACTTCCTTGTCCGCCTTCTCGTTCTTTACTTGGCCTCCTGTCGGTGTTCTTAGTTGGGTATGGAGTGCAGCAGCGTGTTTTCTTAGTGTCTTCTCCTTTATCAATATCTTCCTCGTCTCCATCACAACTAGAGTCGTCTAGCAACTCCTTGAGGCCTCGCATTCCTTTTGAATCTTTGACCGGGGAACGCAGGCTTTCGAACGGTCCTTCTTCTTGTGCATGATCTCGCTCTTCCCGTTCAGCAGGCTGGCGATCTGTTGTCGGCAATCGTGAACCCGCTGACTTGGCTCTGTCATCATGGCGATCGTGCACTTCGTGATGCTTATTTCGTGTTCTAATCTGCTTGGATCCACTTGGGCCTGCACTGTGCCGATGACCTGATCTGCTAGTCGTGCGAAACGTGAAATTCTTGGTCGCCCTCCGGATTCTTCTGATGTCGGGCTCTTGGGGCGGGAAGGTAAAGCTCTCATGTTGGCGTGCAACTGAAATCGTGGATGGCAAAATACGTCCGACAATTTCCTATTGCTTCGCGCTTGGGTGGATCTTGTAGTCGTCGTAGTTGTTGCTACTCTGTGCACTATTGTTTTGCTTCTTTGGTGTCTAACGTGAGGTTGGCCTCTTGCGAGAGCTCTTCCATCCATTCTTCTGCCAGTCATGGTAGTTCTGATATCCATGCTGCTTATCATCGTGCGGCTTCTGAAGGTCCTTCTGGCAGTTGCCGTTACCTTGCTGCATCCTCCATTGCCAAGGCTGTCCCCCATTTGGATGTCTTGCAGGTCGGCTTCCTGAGCTTCTACTCGCCATATTGTCGAGGTCGTAGTGCTGCAAGTGCTGCTGGTTGCGCTGGTGCTGCTGCACCGAGTGGTGCCTGTTGAGGATGTCTTTCGCCTGAAAGAGTCGCAGAAGCACCCGAGCGTTGCCACGTTTGTCTTGCTCTCGCCGATGCGTAGCTCCTTCTGGAGCACCGCCTCGGCCCTGTCGCGGCGTCCCGCCGCGGGGGTGGCCGCAGCGCGGTCGCGGGCGCCGCTGCCTGCGGCAGGGTGCAGGGAGGCGCGGATGGCCCCCTGCCGCAGAGCGATGTCGATGCGCGATGTGCCCTGCCACCGCGACCGATCGGGCGGCAGGCGCGACCGACCCCGATGTATCGATCGGGATCCACGTGCTCGCCAGAGGCCAGATGGGCTTCCTCGTCGTCCTCCTCCTCCTCCTCCTCCTCCTCTTTCTCGTCCTCCACCTCCTCCTCCTCCTCCTCCTCCTCCTCCTCCTCCTCCTCCCTCCCAGCTTATCAGATGGGGCTGGAGCAGATGGGGTCGGAGGGTTGCGTGCACCGCCGATGCATCGGCGATGCGACTCGATGCGGAGCCCGACTGTCTCCGCGCCGACGTCGCCGATGCATCGCCGGCGTCGCCGATGCATCGCCGATGTATCTCGGCTATATTCGAAGAGGAAAAAGTGGCATCAACATCAACTTTTGACGGTCCGCGCGGATTTCTTGGATCTGCGTTGGACCCGCCTTCCTGTCACGCGCTGCGCGTCAGGGGCGGCGCAGGAGTCGCCGCCACGGGTTTTCCTGGCGCCGATCCGAGAAATCTGCGCGGACCGTCGAACGCCTCTATTGATGACGTTCTTGTCTCCTCTTTGAGCATGGACGAGATGTGCACCGGCGACGCGCCGGCGACGCCGGCGATGCATCGGCGACGCTGGCGCGAAGAAGCTCGGGCTCCACATGTCGCCACCCATTTGCAGTGGCGCGAGGGGGGGGTCGGGGAACACTGAAAAAACACATATGGGGCCCGTACCTCCCCCAACCCGAAATTCGGGTCTTCGGTTTGGGTTGAGGTGGTCTGGTAGATAGTCAACATGGGGCCACATCGCCGATGCATCCGCGGTGCGGCACGGTCTTCCGAGCCCCTCTGCTCCGGCCCCATCTTATAAGCCTGGAGGAGGAGTAGGAGAAGGACGAGAAGGATGATGATGATGATGATGATGATGATGATGATGATGATGATGATGATGATGATGATGATGATGATGATGATGATGATGATCGATGATGATGATGATGATGATGATGATGACGATGATGATGATGATGATGATGATGATGATGAAGATGATGATGATGATGATGATGATGATGATGATGCTCGGATGCTGCTGTTGCTGATGATGATGATGGTGACGATGATGATGATAATGGTAATGGTGAGGTTGATGATGATGATGACGGTGATGATGATGCTTTGATGCTGCTGCTGATGATGATGATGCTGATGCTGATGCTGGTGATGATGATGATGATGACGATGATGATGATGATGATGATGATGATGATGATGATGATGGTGATGATGATGATGATGGTGATAATGATGGTGATGATGATGATGATGATGATGATGATGCTGATGATGATGATGATGATGATGATGATGATGATGATGATGATGATGATGATGATGATGATGACGATGACGATGGCGATGACGAGGAGGAGGAGGAGGAGGAGGAGGAGGAGGAGGATGACGAGGATGAGGATGAGGATGAGGAGGGGCAGGAGGAGGACGAGGAGGAGGAGGAGGAGGGGCAGGAGGAGGAGGAGGAGGAGAAGGACCATAACCAGTGTAAACCCAAGAGTCATCAATGATGTTGGCATCAACCCTCCCTCCAAGCTCCCCCTTCATAGGCCTCATACACGGGTTCAGTTCCACTGAGGGAGCTGCCTCGTTGGAAGACAACCGTTTGAAGACCCTGAAGCACGCCAAAACATTGTTCTCGGGATTCCAACGCAACGGACCAATTTGACTGTTACGCCTTGGCGATCTTGAATCATGTCAGAACGACATCCCTGGGACTTCTACACCGCGAATCAAATAACTGTTGCACCCTCGTAGTCCAGAATTCTTCCAACATGCAGTTTCTGGTACGTTGATGATGGGAACCAGCGAAATTCTTACAAGTTTTACAAACGAATGTGCGCGGCGCTGAGGCGAGAGCAATATTTTGAAAAGGAGCTGCTGTCCTTCCGTGAAACCCTTGCAATTTTTGAAGCGAATGTGCGCGGCGTTGAGGCGAGAACCACATTTTGAAAACCGACCGCCCTCCATCTGTGAAAGTGTTGCCATTGTTTACGCTTCGGGGGACGAGGAGACGGAGGAGGAGGAGAAGGAGGAGGAGGAGAAGGAGGAGGAGGAGGAGGCGAATGATGAGGCGGAGGAGGCGGAGGAAGTGGAGGAGGAGGAGGAGGCGGAGGAGGAGAGGGAGGAGGAATGAGAAGGAGGAGGAGAAGGAGGAGGAGGCGGAGGAGGAGGAGGAGGAGGATGAGGAGGAAGAGGAGGAGGAGGAGGAATGAGGAGGAGCTGGAGGACGAGGAGGGGAAGCGGAGGAGAGGAGGAGGAGGAGGAGGCGGAGGAGGAGGCGGAGGAGGAGGAGGGAGGAGGAGGAGGAGGAGGAGGAGGAGGAGGAGCAGGAGGAGCAGAACCAGTGTAAACCCAGGAGTCATCGTTGATGTTGGAGTCAGCCTCCCCTCCAAGGATGAGGAGGAGGAGCGGCGCGGCGCGAGCTCCCGAACCCCGCTGGTCGGGCCCCGCTCGGCGGGCGGGCCCCCGGCGCGCCCGCCGCCCCCCGCGGCGCCGCAGGCACCCAGACCCTGCACAGCCCGACCAGCGGCCTGCTCGGCTGACGGGTTCCGGCGCTGTCGCCCCTGCGCTTCAGTCGGGCGTGGCCCTCCATAGGAGGAAGTCCTCTGAGGAGGAGGAGGAGGAGGAGGAGGAGGAGGAGGAGGAGGAGGAGGAGGAGGAGGAGGAGGAGAGGGCCGCGGGGAGGAGGGCCGGTTGGGGGAGGGGAGGGCGGGGAGGAGGAGGGGACTGGAGTGAAGAGGTGGGGGGAGAGCTGTCCAGCTGGGTGGGTGAAGAGGTCGGGAAGAGGTCACCGAGAGTCTAGAACAGTTAGGCAGACGATTTGGGGGCGACTTTTCGATTACTTGGTCGACCATGTGTTCGGAATCTTTTCCTGAGGTCTCTGAAGTCGGAGCCTTCTCCTACAGGAGGAGTATCCAAAAAAGACAGAAAGTCTGGGGACGGCTTTTCGATCATTTTGCCAATGTTTGAGCCTTTTTTTTTTTTTTTTTTTTTTTTTTTTTTTTTTTTTTTTTTTTTTTTTTTTTTTTTTTTTTTTTTTTTTTTTTTATAAACTATTTTTATTTGTGTTCCTCCAATATGCGCCTGTGGGAGAACGTGCCCGACCTAATCCTTCGCCCTGCTTCCACCGATGGCCTGCGCGGGCGGGAAGCGAGAAGGGGCGGGCCTTCTCAGAAGGCTCGGACGTCCCGCGGCTTTCCGAGAAGCTTTTTGAGCCTTCCCCAGGGACGCACGGAACACTTTTCGGCAAGCTGGAGGGCTTCTGAGAAGCCCCGCTGTCTTCTGAGACAGCCTTCTTCTCCGCACTTCGCCCCTTCGCTCGCCGCCGATTCCAGGGCTCTGTGTCTCCGCGGAAGTCCCGCCGCCTCCTGAGGAGGCCTTCTCCTTCTCACCTGTCCCCCTTCGCTCGCCGCCGATTCCAGGTTCCGGGTTGGAGCTGTCTGGGGGTCGGGGGCAGTGAAACACGATTTCGGGGTGAAGAAATCTGCGCCAGATGTCGGAGGGACGCCAACTATACACCACCACCAGCCCTGGCCAAACACTTCCTGGGCCCTGAATCGGTGTACGGACCTCCTAGCCTGGGCCAGGAAGGCCTGCACACCAGTCCAGGGCCCAAGATAGGCCTGGCCAGGGCTGGTGGTGGTGTATTGTTTGTAGCCCTCCCAAGGTGGACCCCAGGAGGGGTACCCGGGACCGATTTTGAGTGGAGTCGGCCTCCCCTCTCGTGGACGGCTTCTCCGGACTCCCGCCCAGTGCAGACCCCCCGGCCGCCTCCAGTCTCCTGGCCTCCCTCCAGGCCTGGGTTTTCGCCTGCGAATCGTGATGGGCGCCTCGTCAGAGGCCACACCGGGGGGGGTGCTGGGCCCCTGCTGGGCCAGGCTCAGGGGGGATGCCTCGGCCCCCTGTCGCCCAGTCGTCGCCGATAGGGGCCCCATAGGCCCACCCCGCCGAGGAGCATGCTGATCGCCGACCTCTCGGCGATCTATGCCCGCCGCTTCAATCTCGATCTATGGCAGAAAAGAGCCCTTGGTTTGGCAAGTCTGCAGAAACGACCCCCTATCCCCCATTTGTTCGGCCCTCCTGACTTAGGTCCCCTCCCACAGGGTTAGGGGCCCTTCTATCGCTGATCAGACGGGGGTTCGCTTTCGGCGTCGCTGCGGACCCTGTCCCTTCGAGACAGAAAGGCCGCCTGCCCAAGAGCGGCCGCTGTCGGTTTTGCACAACTTTGAGCCTTGGGCATCGTGCCCACTTCTTCCGTGCTCCGCATGGCACAATCATCGGGGAGGGGGGGGGCGACTGGCCCTCCGACGGAACGTCCCCATCCCCCCCAACTGCCCCTCAACGTGCGCCCAGAATTCCCAACTGCCCCCCAACTGCCCCCCAACTGCCCCTCAACGTGCCCCTCCCCCCGCCCCACCTGGCCCAGGAACTCGGGTCTCAGAATTGCCATCCCCCCCTCCCCAATCCCGCCCCGACGGCACGCGCCCATCCCCCCCCTCTCCTCGAACCCAAGAGGGGGGGGGGGACTATCTGTGCCATCCCGAACGCCCGTGCCGGGCATTCAGACCTTCGGCCCTGTCTGGGCCTCCATGGGGAGCCCTGGCGGCCACGGCCGGGCGCAGCCCGAGGGGCGGGCCAGGCTGGGGAGTCCTGGATTCTACAGTCGAGGCTGATCAGCAGGTCGGCCAAATCGTGCCTTTCGGGTCGGGCGCAGCCCGAGGGGCGGGCCAGGCTGGGGAGTCCTGGATTCTACAGTCGAGGCTGATCAGCAGGTCGACCCTGCCAAATCAAGAGTGCCTTTCGGGTCGGGCGAAAGGGGGGGATTGGGAAAGGGGGGGTTACGAAATTTGCTGCATGCAGCTGGTTTTGGCCTCACCAAGGGGCCCATTCCTCGATACATAGCCGCCTCCGGCGCTGGGAGGCGCCGGGGAAATCAGCTACGTGAGCTGATTCTCAAACCCCCCCTTTGCTATCCCCCCCTTTCGCCCGACCCGAGCCTTCGTGCCCCGCGTTCTGCGACCCATGCCTTCTACATTCCTATGGCAAGGTGGCCCTCGGAGGGGTCTTGTGCCCTCTCGCGTGTCCTCTCCAATCAGCTCCGACGGCAGCCTTAGGCGGAACACACATCCGCATCCGCGGCCTCGCGGGCCAGGCCTCTGTGCCGCCACCCCGCGGATGCGGGGCGGTCTTTCTCGGGGAGGCCCCGCGCGGAGCGTATCCCTTGCGACCGCGTGTCCGCGGGATTGCGCCCCGGAACCGAGACCGCGAGGGCGCGGATGCAGATGTGCTCGCCACTCATTAGATGTATACATGTATATATTTCTATTTCTATATATATATATATATATATATATACATATATGCCGCCCCCCCGGCCCCAGGTCCCACACCTCCCCGTGACATCTCGGGGACGCTCCCGGTACCGCTCCCCCGGCCTTTCCGGGGAGCCTCCACAGCACACCAGGAGGTCCCAGGACGCCTCCCAGGAGTCCCCAGAATGCGAAAGGACGGTCCAAGACGCTCCCAAGCATGCCAAGTCAGCCTTCCGACGGCTCTCGAGGCTCCCAGGTGGCCTCCAAGAGACCACAAGAGAGGTCCGAGAGGCGTCCCGGGACGGCCTGAAGAGGTCAAAATCGTAGATTTTCAATTTTTGTTTTCCGTGTTCTTGGCTTCTCGTGTTTTCGAGCTTCCAATGGTCCAAGAGCGCCGAGGAGGCTCCCAAGACCGCCCCAAGACCACCCAAGAGACCCTCAGGACGGCCCCCGGGCCAAGAAGGCTCAAGACTGCCGAAGAGGCGCCCAGGACAGCCCCAGACCACCTCAGAGCAGGCCCAAGATGGGCCCAAGAGCGGGAGCAGGAGGCTTCCAGAGACTCCCGAGAGGCCTCCGGGACCACCCAGACGCCCCCAACACAACCCCCATCCCTGAGAGGCCCCAAAAAGACCCCGACGAGGCTCCAAGAACAGCCCAAGAAAGCTGCGAGAGCCGTCCCGAGAGAGCCCAAAGAGGGTAGAATCGCTGATTTCCAACGTTTTTTCCAATGTTTTTCGCCTTCTCACGTTTTCCCGCTTCCAAGCCTCAAATATCAAAGAAAAACAAAGAATTCCAATGATTCCCTTTTTTCAAAGTGGAACTCCTACTCGGGGGTTCTACACATTCCCTGACATCTGGCCGGTACCGCGCCTCCCGGCTTCTTGGGGAGACCCCCAAGACGCCTAAGGACAGTTCATGACGACCCCAAGAAGCTCCCAGAACGTAAAGAACGGCCCAAGACGCTCCCGCGCAGCCTGCTCTCCAGGTTTCCAGGAGGCCTCCAGAACCAGCAGGGGGTCTGGAAGATCCCACACCCCTGAGGGGCCCGGCTAACAAAACCCGCAAGGCACAAGCAACAAACAGCGCCGAACAGCGCCGAGGAATTGGAAAAACATGGAAATCCAACATTTTTTTTGTTTTTCAAGTTTGGCCCCCGGTCTACTCTTGCACAACAGACCACAATTCAGACCCCCCCCCACCTCCCAAAAAAGGACCCAGGAAGCCTTCGAGGGCCCCAAATCGTTGAACGCCTACAGGAAATTAATGATTTCTGCGTTTCCACGCTTCCCCTTCTATGCAATTCCGAGGCTTGCGCAGGGCCTCCAAGGAAGTCCCTGGACGCAAGAAGCGACCAACATGATATTATATGAGTTAGCCTATCAAGCCTAGCTGGAACTTGAGCGCGCGCGCGCGAAACGCGCGCGATGGTTTTAGTATATAACTGTATATGTAACACATCTATATATGTAAGTATGTAAGTGTATATCTGTATGTGTATATATGTCTTCAGCTTCCCCCCAACTCAGAGGTCCGACGTTGTTAGGAAATGGAGGCCTGGTGAACACGCGCGACGAGAGCCCTGAGTCCAATCCTTCTGCGGCATTCTTCGAGCCCGATCGGTCTCTGACGGTCACGGAGCCCGAAACTTGGCGAAGCGCCCGGTGTGAAGGAATTGCCGCGCGGCGCCCGGTTCTCTTGGTAGCTTCGGCGTTTCGAGGCATGAGTCGGCCGCTGTGGCCATCAGACACCGAGCCAGGCGAAAGCCTGGTCCCTCGTGGTTGGGTTCGAGAGCTTCCAGGGGCCCACCGGACAGACAAGTTAAGTCTCAACGTCTTTCTGGTGTGAAAAGCAGTTCGATCTCACGCATTTCCCCTCACCACCAAAACAATGGTCCCACATCTTGTCGCGGTCCAACAGAGTTTTCGGTCCCACATTTTGTCGGTGACGTTGTCGGAGGCCTGGGTGCTTTTCTTGCGCGCCTTTGGTGTGCTTAGCTGGGGCGTCGATGTGCAGAAATCGGCCTCGACGACGACGACGGGCAGGGCTGCCAGGGAGACCCTGGGTGGCCGTCGAGCCACTTTTGCGAGGCTTTATGACGGGGTCCCGAGTCCCCAGAGAGCGGCCCTTGGGAGGGAGGGGTGACTGCTTGGTGGGGGAGGGGATGATGGGAAAGTGCTTGTGGTGGATAGTGAGGATAGGGAAGAGAGGAGGAGCGTCAAGCTAGGCGCGCT